TAATAGGTTATATGAATCTTCTTCTTTTGAATTGGTTTATCCAAATATGCAATAAAATTTGAGGCATTCCATTTAAAAAAATCACAATTTTGATATGTACGTCAAAATTGGGACAGCCGGTATAATGTCATGTACGAGTATAACATGCTATAAATAAATTTTCCCAAAATGTATTGTTTTATGAGTAATATTCCGTCCACACATAGATGGGCCTCCCTGTATAGAAGGCAAGAGCTATATGGTATATACATTTCAATTAACCAGTAATATTTAACTTTTCTTATATGTTGCTTTTTGTAGATTTATTGACCCTCGGTTGTCTGTGATACGGTCGAAAAAATAGTTATAGATAGATCAGTCGCTAATTTAGTTAAGTCATTAAATCTTAGCGGCCCATTTTAAATTATCTGTAGTTCTATTTTAAAAGTCTTAGGTTTGGTTTTGGCCCATTTGGATGTAATTTCCACGCACAAGTTATCATTTAGAGTTAGTACTTCCACAGATATATCATAGTCTATGAGTACAATCCATACTTCACCTACCTATATCGAAATTTCACCAAAATTCATATACATCATTTATATGTTAATTAGTATAAAAAAAAACATTTTATTGTATTACGTCGTCGTTAGCAGATATTTTATTTTCTTACCCGCGCACAAGGGCCACCCGTCTGCGGGCTACTCATTCTTCTTCCATAAAATTTTATGTGTAATGGTTGTATATTTTGGAGACAAATAAATACTACTAGTACTATTACTAATCAATATGTGTGGTTTATTTTATCTAAGAAGTGCACAGTATCACTGAGATCAGCAGCTTCTTAATAATACGAGTAGAAGGTCTTTCACTCACAGCAAATATGCAACAATTCACAACCATTTACTGTATGCATTCCAACCTACAATTTTCATCCCCTATAAACAATGTATGAAAATGAGCAGGAATCTCTGAAACGTTGTACCACTATGTCGTTAACCAATACATTTAGAACCCCCTACCTTCTACGAGCCCCTTCCCACTTCTGTTGGCCCAACTATTGAAATCTTAGTTTTTTTCTTAGCAAACACAATAAAAATGCAGCACGGTGTTATAGGTTTAAAATGTTAACAATGAATATTTTGATAATATATAGTAGAAAACACCAACTTTATCACTCCCTAATCAAATTTGCAGCATAAAAATAACACATGTTGCAATTACAGCATATCAACCTATTTTCATTTCAATGCAAAATAAGTCTATAACGCATAGGTGGCTGTGAAAAATAAAAGCCATGACAATTGTTTTTATTAATCACAGCTGTCAGAATACGTTTAAAATAGTTTTGGGTAGTTAAGGTTTTCAAAATGGGTAGAGGAAAGGTTATTAGTGAGAAAATTCTGTTACTGATAATTAAATTTTTTAATTCTGGGAAATCAAAGTCAGAAATTGCAACTTTGTTAGACTTATCACGGTACTGTGTGAGAAATATTGTAAGAAGATATAACGTAACTGGTTCAGTTAATATTAAGCCACGATATGTGAAAAAAAGTAATATCACAAATGCCGACCAAAGAGCATTAAGAAGAATAATCGTGAAAAACAGGCGTGCCAATTATACTAAGTGACATATAAATCCGAACACCCAGTTTAAATGGTTTTATTTTAATAAAAGTTAGTGAATGCATTTACCTTACTGTAAATAACAAGTGAAAAAATTTACAGCCTTATCAGTTGGACATTCCGGTTTTTATACTGCTTTTTTTTAATTCACTAACGCTCTAAAAATGAATATTTCAGCCGCAGTAAAGAATCAACGTTGGCGGATTTTGGTTCTTGACATTCTTTACGATCGGTTACGATGCCTAGAGTACGGAGACCTGTACGATTTCGTCAACTTAGTGAGTTTGATAGGGGCCGTATAGTGGGACTTCGGGAAGCTGGACTTTCTTTTCGGGCAATTGCAGTTAGAGTGCAAAGAAGTGTAGACACTGTGGTTAGGTGTTGTCAGGCACGGCTTCGAGAAGGCCGTACGCAAAGAGCAAGGGGCACTGGACGCCGCCGTAGAACAACAGACCGTGAAGATCGCCGCCTAAGATTATTGGCCTTAAGGGAACGTTTCTCCACTACAAGGACCATTGCAAATGAATGGTTTGCAGAACACGGAAGACCTATTGGCATGCGAAGTGTTTACCGACGAATGAGAAGGTTTGGCTTGTTTTCATACCGGCCACACTGGGTCCTCCCTTTAACTCGAGAACACCGACGTAATCGCCTTGAGTGGTGCAGACAACGGTCACTCCGGGATCAGGAATGGAACAGTATTGTCTTTAGTGACGAGTCTCGATTTTGTTTAGGCATGCACGATGGTCGTGCCAGGGTTAGAAGGCGACGTGGTGGAAGGAGGAATCCACAGTTTTTTTGTTGAAAGTCAAGTTCATCACACTGTTGAAGTTATGGTTTGGGGTGCTATAGCTTATGGTTCCAGGTCACCTTTAATCTTCATCAGAGGTAACATGAACGCGCAGCGTTATATCCACGAAGTTATAGAACCCCATCTTTTACCCTATCTTGACACCCTGGCAGATCCAACTTTCCAACAAGATAATGCCCGACCACATGTTGCAAGAGTCACAATAGACTTCTTTCAACATAATGATGTCACATTGTTACCATGGCCACCAAGATCTCCCGACTTATCCCCAATTGAGCACGTGTGGGATATGATGGCTAGGAGATTGCTCAATTTGCAACGTCCTCCTCAGACTCTAGAAGCACTTCGAGAGGAGTTGGTGGTTGCCAGGAATGAGATACCACAGGAGGACATTGACCACCTGATCAGAAGCATGCCTAGGCGCGTTGGAGAATGCGTAGCACATCAGGGTGCATTCACACATTATTAAAGGTCAAAGGGCTTTAAAGCAGTGCAATCATTTTGAAATTTTTATCATTTACTTATTATGCTTCATTAAGTACTTATACAAAATTTTATTAAAAGTAAAACCATTTAAACTGGGTGTTCGGATTTATATGTCACTTAGTATAGTAGAAAACACCAACTTTATCACTCCCTAATCAAATTGGCAGCATAAAAATAACACATGTTGCAATTACAGCATATCAACCTATTTTCATTTCAATGCAAAATAAGTCTATAACGCATAGGTGGCTATGAAAAATAAAAGCCATGACAATTGTTTTTATTAATCACAGTTGTCAGAATACGTTTAAGATAGTTTTGGGTAGTTAAGGTTTTCAAAATGGGTAGAGGAAAGGTTATTAGTGAGAAAATTCGGTTGCTGATAATTAAATTTTTTAATTCTGGGAGATCAAACTCAGAAATTGCAACTTTGTTAGACTTATCGCGGTACAATGTGAGAAATATTGCTAGAAGATATAACGTAACTGGTTCAGTTAATATTAAGCCACGATATGTGAAAAAACGTAATATCACAAATGCCGACCGAAGAGCATTAAGAAGAATTATCCTGAAAAACAGGCGTGCCAATTATTTACAATTAAGTGCTCTGTGGAGTGACGCTGTTGGAAGGAGTTCCACAACTCATACAGAGGCCCACAAACTGGGATTTAGCCTTTGCAAGCTAAGTTTTCTTATAAAAAAAAGTGAAGTAAAAACCCTACAGTTGCACAACATGTTTATAGGCCAAAGAAAAGCCACTATTAACTCCACTGCAAAAGAAAAATCGGCTTAGATGGGCTAAAGAACATAGACAATGGACACCTCAATAATGGTGTGCAATACAATGGAGTGATGAGACCCGATTCGAAGTTTGTGTTGGTGATAGTCGCAGCAGAGTTATTCGCAAAAAACAGAAGCATTCCATGTTGACTGAATGAAGAGAAAAGTGAAATGTCCAGCATCCATTATGGTCTGGGGCAGTATGTCATCAAAAGGAGTAGGAAAACTTCTTTTAATTGATGGAAATGTGGATACAAACAAATATTTGGCAATTTTAGAAGAATCGCTTTTACCAGTGATGGAAGAATGTTTAACATCCGGCCAAGATTTTGTGTTTCAGCAAGATGGTGCAGCGTGCCATACCTCAAAAAAGGCTATAAAATGGATGGAAGAAAGTAATGTACCACTTTTGAAATGGGTTTCTAGCAGTCCAGATCTGTCACCTATTGAAACTTTGTGGCACGAGATGGAAAAGGTTCTACGACAACATCCTGCTCGTACAATCACCGAACTGAGACAGAAGCTTCAAGAAATGTGGGATTGTTTTACACCAAATTTTTGCCAAAACTTGATTAACACTATGCCAAAAAGAATTTCAGCCGTAATAAAAAATAAAGGTGATGTTACCCAATGATTTCCTGTGATTGGGTGTATACCTGTTGGAAATAAATATATTATTATTATTATTATTATCAATGGTAATCTTTCAATTGTTGCTTTGTTAACTTCGCGCATTCATTCGCACATTGTTTATTTGTTCAGATGTTCTATTAGTTATAGGTTTAAGTGAGTTCAAATATGTATTTTTTACGACTAGAGTGTATCTAATGTTATTGAGAAAATAAATTGTTTTAGAAGTAAATATTTTCGTCATGTTTAGTTTATAAAGGCATATCTTGGTACAAATATTGAAGTGGGCCAACTGAAGTGGGAAGGGGCTGGTACAACCTCCAGCCCCCAAGTATCAAGAAATTTTCTGAAAATGATCTGGAGCCTCTCAAAGCATTATTTTCATTCTTAGCATAGTAGTAGCCTTGTATGAAAATTCGAGCCGTAGATCTCAAGTTATAGGCGTTTATAACATTAGCGGATAGACATACATACAAACCGACAGACTGACGGAAATGAGTGATGTACATGTGATATAACATCCACAAGACATAATATCTCAATTTCAAAATGTATCGCGATTACAATACTTCATCGCCAGTTTTGGCTTAGGTAGTGAAAATACTTTGGGAACATACCTGTGTAAAATACAATAATAGAACTGTACATAATATAAACGATAGTTCTTAAGTGTAGCATTGTTTTTTAGTTAATACCGCTGATGTAGCACCTGAGATGACGCTGAATACCTACCTTAGGGATGTGATGAATCTAACTGGTACAAAGCGAATGTGTCTGGAAGGTGGCTGTGGATCATGTATCGTAGCAGTTGAAAAAATCGTCAATGGATTGAAAATCGTATTTGCTGTTAATTCGGTATGTGAACTTGTTAGACGACAACCTTTAGTTTTGTTTAGTTAAAGTTTACACCGTACAAATCTGTCCCGTTGTCAGCATGGGTGCTTGCAGGAATTTTCATCGCCAATGTGTTATAGTGAGCAATTTTGGTTTTTCCGAACCGATAGGTAAATTAATGTTTTGTTGACCTACGCTGCCGGCACCTGGGTTAAGTACGGATGTACGTCGTGTCTTTTCACTTTTGCTCTGATCGAGATACAGGCCCGGACTCGGATTTTGCGCAGCCAAACATCTCGGACTGGTTTAAATGCTACTAGGAAAAACCGCCTACTTTTTCAAGATCCATACGCCGTGTAAATAAGAGACCCAACTTTGCGGACACCCTGTATATATGTAGGTTAGACCTTAGAGATGGACACCGGCTACCTTTTGTGGTGAAAGTTAGACTTTAAACGATTGAAAAAGCTACTATGGGGAAACTAACTAACTAAGGGGGTAAATTGAGAGTTCACATTTTTCTAGTTTTTTGTAGATAGTTCATAATTTTTATGAATATGTAGATCGTAAGTTTGCGACAGCCGCGATATTGGACTTAGAATGATGTCACTTTACTTATTATGTTTCCCTCATCAAGCCCTTTCATTTGGTACCCATAGTATAGGGGTGACTGTGGAAATTATAAATCGCCATTTGGTGGTCACCACGATATTTAATTTGTAATAACGTCACGTTGATTTGTTATGTTTCTCTCGCTAGGCCCTTTCGTTTGGTACCAATATCAGTTTTTTCAGAAGCCAGCTTTATGTCATTTTCCTCCATACATTATGTTGATTTTGGTTATGCCTCACGCCAAAACATTTTAATGTATGTTCCTCCTTGCTTGTTACCACCATTCCCAAGTCATCCGCATACCCTATCAAGTTCAGTCCTGGCAGCATATCAAGCCTTAAAAGCCTATCGTAGAACAAATTCCACAAATCCGTTTTGGAGCCACTTCTATAAGACTTGCTTCTCAGCACTTGAAAGTGCGCGTCAGAACGCGTCTCGTGCGCACAGAAGGCGTTTTTTTATAGCGCGACAATTTAACGCCCGTGTGTACCGACAGTGTTAAATATTTTGCTTTCAGTGTTTGGTCTCAGTTCTCTCCTGTCATGGTTGGAAAATTCACACTGTAGAAGGAATTGGTGGACCACTTAAAGGCTTCCATGAAATACAAACTGCTTTGGCACATGGAAACGGCACACAATGTGGGTTCTGCTCACCAGGCCAGGTGATGAACATGTATGCGTTGATGGAAGGATCTGAAAAACAGTTGACGGAAAGCACAGTGGAAAATTCGTTTGGAGGCGTACTGTGCAGATGTACTGGCTACAGACCAATTGTTCAGTCATTTAGAAGTCTCGTTAAAAAAGAAAAAGGTAAGCATCTTCCGAATGCCTCTAGACTGCTAGCAATTCTGTTTAAAACTATTTGAATACTGCTTTATGGATAGAATGGTATTATTTTAACATTTTGACTGAAAACTGACATGGCCTTCGCAATGGAAAATCTACCTCAACAACAATACATGACTTTTATCGAACTCTTGCCGGAGAGTGCCCTGTTAGGATCTCAGCAAGACGTTCGACTTTGTCAATCATGAAGTGTTGTTGACCAAACTATCAAAATATGGCATAAATGGTACATCGTATTGGATAAAAGCGTTGTTACTAATAGGTCTCAATATTTGTGAATATCTAAACTAAGACTAATACAGGATGTCCGCAAAGTTGGGGTTTTCCTTTTCAGAAACAACTACCCTTGAAATAAAAAAGGTAATGTGTAGTGAAACGAGAGCGATCAAGTAAAAAAAAATAAAGAAAAAAGTACTCACTCTCCAGTTGACGAGAAGGGCTAAGTACGTCTCTGCCCGAAATCATACCGCTCCAACAGAAAATGAAATATCAGCTGATGCGCTACCGAGCAGATGTCGGCAGTGGTGCAGACCAGTAGACCAAGAACAGAGGTAACAAATATGACCATCGTGCAGAAACCACATTGATTGTCTTACACTTAATGGTACATCTTCAAACAAGGAAGGCAAAATGTTGCGTAAAAAGTCTAGGTATTGCATCCCGTCCAATCGATTTGGGAGAATAAATGGTCCAATGAGCATACCGTTCACCATGCCAGCCCAAAGATTCACCGAAAATGTTTGTTGAAAATGTGCCCGACGGACAGCGTGCGGATTTTCTACTGACCAAACATGAGTGTTGCGAAAGTTATTCACCCCATTACGCGTGAACGTAGATTCGTCTGTCACCAATATGCACTTCAAAAAGTCCGGATTATTGTCATGTTGATGCAACAACCACTCACAAAACCGCACTCTTGCTGGAAAATCGTCAGGTTGAAGGGCTTGTACACGTTGGACGTGAAATGGATACAGCCCCTCTTCACGCAGCGTTTGCCACACTTTAGTTTCTGATACTTGCACTTCTCTAGCCACGTCTCCAGTGCTTGTTGTTTTTTGAAACGCAATCGATTATACGAGTTCGTTTACCTCTACACGCGTGACCGTAACCGTCGGTTGAAGGTTGCATACTGACCTGACACACTGACCTACCCAGTTCTGTCGTCGGGTTGAGCTAGTGTCCTAGTACCAGTTGGGGATGTCGCGAGTCGCGGCTACAGGACGGTATTCAGATATTTTTGATGTTGCAGAGCCCTTTATCTCGGTTCCCTTAAGATATTGGTGTATATGGTACTAAGAAAAATTGCTTATGTTTTCAAGATCTACACGTCGTGTAAAGGAAAACCCCAACTTTGCGGACACCCTGTTTATACCGTCCATAAAATTCCATCATCATCCCTACTGAGCGGGGCCATGGCAGATGCTTCTTTCGGAAGTTGTTGTACAAGCCCGCCAACGGGCCACTTTAGCTCTATCTTACATCATTAACATGCAAAAAGTAGGAGGTAGACAAGGTCCAATCAAAAGGGGCGGTAGGACCCTAGCTCTTTCGATGATAAAATTTGTTTCACAAACATCTGCGGGATTAACAGCAACATTGATGTCTCGCCATGCTTTTTTTGGCGGACACCATATTTTGCACCGATTAATCATCTTAGCTTCCCAAATTACGAAGTGCACTCCACTCTGAGAAAGAACGGGGCGGTTGTAGCTTTTTTCCGCAGCAGTCTCTCCTGCTACAAAGACGTTTCTTTAGGATCATACTGGCACGTTCTGTGGCTCCGCCTCAGCTGAAAAGTTTCCCTGAAATTCACTTGGACCATAACTGGGATGACCGACTTGAATACCTCGCTGTTAAGATCGACTTCCTGAACACCAATCACCCCGCTTCAGAGGTAGTTCTCCTCGGCGATTTCAATATCCATGAGGAGCTCTGGTTGGGCTCAAACAACACCGATGCAGCAGGTCGTGTGATTGAAGCGTTCGCTATTAGGTACCTAAGGACTGAGCCAGCTATGACGAGCCCTACTTTTTCCTCCGCTTTTCGTCTCACGTCAGTGGGTAACTAAGATCACGGTGTTGTGGAGGTTCGGTTTCGATTAGAACCCGCTGAGGCAGCAGAAACTCGTATAGGCCGCAAAATTTGGCATTACGGACATGCCGACTGGGAGGGGCTCAGAGACTTCTTCTCTACCTTTCCTTGGAGAGATGTCTGTTTCACTGATCTGCGTTGGCTGTGTGTTCTTCGATTACCGTAAATATCCACGTCGGAATTGAGGAATACATCTCTCATACAGTGAAAGTGCTTAAACCAGGGTCCAACGGTTAGTTTAACAAATCCTGCCTGGCCAGCAGACAATCAGGGTACACGGTTGCTTTGCCTGTCTTTAGTCCAGTACTATTTTCTTTGTAAATAAATAATTTAGAACAGTGCTCTCCTAAAGGTAGATTCACTCTCTATGTGCATGATGCTTCTGTTGTTATACCGAACCAGCGCGATTATGAGAGAAATGTGAGGACTCATTTGGAGATATTCAGATGAGGTTTGGAAGTAACAAACTATATTTGAATTCAGAAAATACCTCGCTTGAGTGATTTCATAACGTTCAGAAAAAAAAAAACGAAAAACTTAACAATATATATGACTCAATTACATTTTTTCAAATACAGTTTCTAGGAATGTACCTTGATGCAAGCTTATATTTTAAAAAACCACTGTAGTCATAAAACTTAAACCTCACAAACTTATGTCATCAGAAATCTAAGAACAGTTCTTGCTAAAAATCCGTTGGTTACTATTTATTATGCTCAAATTGAATCAACGCTAAGGGTACGGTTTGTGGCTCTGGAGTTTCACAACTAACGCCCTGCAAGTATTTTTGAGCCAAAAAAAGAGCAATTGGGTGTGTAGCTGAAGTTAATAGCTTCCATTCTTGTAGAGATATGTTCAGACAACTTAAAATATTAACTCTCATTGCTTTCAATTGAGCTGTCTGCGTATATTTTAAATAATAAAGAAAGGCTTTTAATTAATAAATTTTATATTACCAGGCTTTTGCCAAAGCCAAAATGTTCCAACAATATCAATCAATTTAAAGCTCAGTTGACATAATTCCTTGCATCTAACTGTTACTATGCTGTCGCAGAATTTGTTTTTTAATGATTGTGATGCTGATCGTTTTATACATTCCTATTTATTCTATTTATTTTTATAAATCTTTGAAACAATTAATAGTAGTAGTAGTAGAAAGATTTATTTAGCACATTTGGGTACATAAACAGAATAATTGTAAACAACTTAGAACTAGTAAATTCAAGCCATATGGTATAGGATGTAAATGCTGGGCAACCTATAATTGTAGATTTAACAAGTGATTTCTCAATTTTACTTTGATGGAATACAGATTTGTAGCATCATCTTTATTTCTGGTATTATGTAAATGATGGTCGACATTTGATGATGTTAAATTAGTTAGACTTGATAGAAATATATTATTTTTTACTTTATAAATGAATATGATTACAAGATATTTGATAAACTTTTTTACATTGAGCCATTTTAATTTGCTAAGCATTTGCCTAATTGGAGTATATTTATCTTTATTTAGTATTATTCACATGCACTTATTTTGTAAAATTTGCAGTCTTTCAAAAATGGAATTATTTGCTAAATATGGAATAGTCGAACAGTACAAGAAATTTGGAAGAATGATGGTATTATAGACAATTTTTCTGCTATATGAACTCAGACATCCAGAAACTCTCGATAAATATCCCACTTTACTACTAATCTTATTTATAACTTTTTCATAATGAATATCAAAAATTAATCGAGAGTCAACAAAAACCCCCAGGTATTTAAAATTTTCTACGAATTCAATATCTTCACCATCAATATTCAGTTCAACATTTGTACATTGTTTTTTTACGATTAATAAGGCTTTCGTTTTACTTGTACTTAATTTCAGTCTGTTAGATGCTAACCATTTTGAGACAAGTTTCAAGTCTTCATTTAGATAAGAGATACCAGACTGAATATTTTTAGTACTTATATAAAACATAGTGTCATCGGCGAAAATCTGAATTTTGCATTTTTTGACTATGGCAGGTAAATCATTTATTTATAAAATAAAAATAAGTGGTCCCAGGATACTGCCCTGTGGAACACCCAACGTATTTTCAATTTTTGATGAAATGGTGTCATTAACTTTTGTAACTTGCATCCTTTTAGACAAATATTTTCTAAACCAATCTAAAACACTTCCTGTTATGCCATATGCCTTCAATTTACCTAACAAAATATCTCTATCAATCGTTTCAAATGCCCTCTTCAAATCCAAAAATACTGCTATGACAACTTCTTCTGAGTCTATGGCTCTTCTCCAATTCTCAGTTACCAACTCCACTAAAATTTTGTTTTCTTCTATAAATTGCATTAACTGGTCATGCACTATGGACTCTAATAATTTTTCAATGTCTGGTAACACATTTACTGGTCTCATATCGCTGCATCTTTTAGATTTTTTTTTTTTGGGAACTGGTGTTATTGTAGAGCATTTCAAATCTTCAGGAAAAGAGCTGCTTCTCAATGAACAATTGATCCAATTTAATACAGGATATCCCAAAATTTCGAAACAGCTTTTCAGCACGTTTTTAGTAGTGATTTCGGCACAGTTGTTATTTGATTTTAAACTGTCTACTTTTTTTCTTAGATAATTCAATGATACACTGTGAAATTTTGAAAGTATATGCAACATTTCCCCCTGGAAACTGATTTTCATATAGTCAGGTGCAGCATTGGCAGTACCCACAATATCAACAATACTTTCAACAAAATCTTCATTTAGTTTGTCTGCAATCACCAAAGAATTTGTTTCGGTACCGTTTTCGAATTGAACTTGATTTACACAATCATGCGGCTTCGAATTGATGTCTTTTTAAAGTCTTCCACATCTTTACACTGTCGCATTTGTTATTATCGATTTGTTTATCGTAGAATTTCCTTTTTTCTTGATTGATTCACATAATCGCTTATTTGTTTTGAAACTGAGGAAGTGTCTGTTGATATATGATGGTTTCAGCCTAAAATAGCATGTTTTGATGACGCTGTTAACATGCGTGTGAAACCGTAAGTTCTCGACTACGAGTGGATTAAAAATTTTGCATACATGATTAAATTCTAAGTTTGTGCTGCTTATTTCCAGCTTCTGGCTTGCTTTTAGATGGGTTCGTTTTTCTTTCTTGCAAGATAGTACAACATTCCATTTTTGAGGATTGAGTTTCGTGTTATTAAAGCAGAATAATTATTTATACTTTCGAGATCAACATTAATTTTAGCCTCAGCCATTGTGAAATCATCACGTGGGAAGCTTAACAATAGCTGAGTATCATCGGCATAACAAGTTACACTCGAGTTTTTATGTTAATTTTAACGGACAAATTAAATGTATATACAGTAAGAACGAGAGGGGCCCTAGGTATGAACCTCGTGGTACCCCTGAAGGAACAATCCGTAAACTGGAAAATTTTAGAATAACTAATTCAGTTCCTTTCGGGATATATGTGATGTAAAGCTAAAAAATGCCAAATGTGGTAAGCGATACTTAACAACTTCGATATCCACTATCAATGAAATGCTGTCTTAATGACACTTTTCATATTATAATCCTTATCACAAGAGGATCCGACCAGCATTAAATAGTTTAGTAGTATTAATAAGTAGTGCTCCTGTGTTTCAGATGGCATAAAAGATATAGAAGATGTCAGCGTATGCACAAGTGAAGACAAATGTAAGACAAACTGTGAACAAACATGTAAGAAAATTAATTATTATCACACGTTCAAGGCATCGAAGTGGATGAAGGTTCACACTCTCAGTGATTTGTTAGATATTCTCATTTCTGCTGAAAATGCCAGCTATATGCTTGTTGGAGGAAATACGGCTAAAGGTAAAGTGGTGTTAGCATCTAAAAGTTACAACCTAAAGAACTATACCGATTTTTAAGTAGCATTATTATTCAATTACGGATCCACTTGATAACGAGGAACAAACAACAAGAGATACTGAATCCTCTACAACTTTTGTTGAGGGTGTGTCAACTCGCTATTATTAATCATTACTCGTTTGTGTTCAAATTACTTTCTCTACCGAAATGACAAGTGATAGACGTGCTGCCGTTTCAATCAGTATCACTATCACTGTTGTGACATTAATTTGTTCAAAATAGTACAACAAATATTAGCAAACTATGAAAAATATCTTACCATCCATTTTAATCCGTTACCATTATCCTTCCTACATCTACTTACAAGTTTGGTACACATTCCGAGATCAATTTTGAATGAACAGTCTGATGACCTGGTTGCCTGATACTTCAAACATGGAGCCGTATTCATAAAACAAAGGATATCCTTGTACTTGCAAATCCTCCAGATGGTATTTAGAGGCGTGTCCGTAAAATAAGTTCCACAAATTTTTTTCATATCAAAAAATTGGTTTAATTGCAAAGAAAATACACTTTTGGAAAGTTCAGCCTTTCTTTTATTTTTCTACATAAACGCCGTTGCGTTCTATGCATCTCTGCATTCGAGGCACGCACTTCTTGAAACCAGAGTCATAGAACTCTGCCGCCTGTCCGTGTAGAAAACCAGCAACCGCGTTTTGCACCTCTTCATCTGTCTGGAATTGGGTTCCGCCAAGGTTTTTCTTCAACTCAGGGAAGAGGTGGAAGTCACTTGTTGCTAAGTCTGGGCTGTAGGGTGGGTGAGACACCATTTTCCATCCAAATCTTTCGATGAGGGCTGTGGTTCGATTGGCGGTGTGCGGTCGGGCATTGTCATGGTGAAAACGCACTCCTTTCGTCAGCATTCCTCTTCTCTTGTTCTGAATGGCATGTCTAAGTTTTTTCAAGGTCTCACAGTACCGGTCAGCATTGATTGTTGTCCCGCGAGGCATAAACTTGCACAACAATACGCCCTTTCGATCCCAAAAAACGCTAGCCATGATTTTCCCGGCAGACAGGATTTGTTTGAACTTCTTTGCTCTTGGGGAAGAAGAGTGCTTCCACTGCTTCGATTGCTCCTTTGTTTCCGGTGTGGTGTAGTGTACCCAGGTCTCGTCACCAGTAACAATAGAGTCCAGAAATTCCTCTTCGGTTGTTCCGTGAAAAGCGAGAAATTCTGGGGCCGCTTCAACCCGCTGCCGCCGGTGGTCTGCAGTGAGCATTCTTGGTACCCATCTTGCGCAGACCTTTGAATAGCCTAAATGTTCAGTCAAAATCTTGTCAATTGTGGTTTTGCTGACCTCCGGAACCTTTGTGCACAGCTCCCGAACTGTAATCCGTCGATCTTCAAGCATTGCCGCTTCGACTTTGGCAATTGTTTCGTCGGAAACCGATGGCCGCCCTGCACGGGCTTCGTCGTGGACGTCTGTTCGGCCATTTTTAAAGTCCCTGACCCATCTGCGCACCATCCCGCAGCTCATACAGTCTTCTCCATACACTTGACAAAGTTCTTCGTGAATTTCCTTCGCCGATTTCTTCTTAGCGGCCAGGAAACGATTAACAGACCGCAACTCGCAGCTGGCGGGAGACGCAAGAGGAACCTCCATCGCTGACGGCTGCTGAGCCAAGACTAAACGTCGCAACGACGCTGGCTTGGTGAGGGATTGGAGTGGGGGAACCAAACAATATGCCTCTATTGCCTGGCTGTGCATAGAAACGATCCTAGCGCCAGCGGCTGCCCGTGGAACTTATTTTACGGACGACCCTATAATAATAGCGTATAATAATTTGAAGTAAATGCTTTTGCTTTTTGAGTATAAGCATATCCTTCAAAGCAGTCACATAAGTAAAAAGATATTGATGATCGTCACCTTATGCTTGGCATATATCCTCCAAAAATTCTAAGTGTGGTCAGTAGCAGACTCAACTTCGTAACGAAATGTGGTAAAACGATGATGGCGGAAATTATGGATGTTAAGGATGTTAAAACGTACAAACCCCGTTTACCTTCACGTGGTCGTGACTTCAAAAAATTATATCGGTTCGACGAAGCAAATGTACAATGGCTGGCGGACAGATTTTTAGTTGATGATGAGGAAACTCGAGGAGGAGCATTTTCATGTATTCATAAAATGAAGATATTTCTACGCTATCTCGGTGACCCTGAATATCAACAAGGTATCGGTCAGGAACTTGGTGTTAGTCAAGCAACGGTATCTCGGACTGTGGATGGAGTTGTGAACAGCATAGTTGCACAGTCGAACGATCGGATCAAGTTTCCAACTACCAACCATGAATAAATTTCCGTCAGCAATTGGTGTGATTGATTGTACACATATAGGAATCCTGAAACCAAATCGCCATGGAGATGAATATATCAACCGAAAAGGGAAACCTACTTTAAATGTGCAAGCCACTTGCGATGCCATAAGTGTTGATGTCAGTTGGTCTGGATCAGTGCATGATTCCAGAATATGGAGAAATTCACAGACTAGATCACAACTAATAAATGAAGCAAATGTTGTACTGCTTGGCGATGACGGTTATGGTATTGAGCCATACCTTATGACTCCCTTCAGAAATCCTACTTCAGGTGCATAAATAAATTATAATAAGCTTTTAAAACAAGAAAGAGTTATAATTGAACGCTGTTTCGGCCAACTGAAATGCCGGTTTCCTGTCCCACAGTACGTTTGCCGCGTAAAGTTAAATAATTATTGCTTGTATTGTACTCCATAATGTTGCGAAGAGCTTGGGCGATCCTGACTTTGAGTTGGTTGAACAAGACCCAGATGAAGATGAAAGAAATCATGAGAATGACGAACTTGAGGACATACTGAGCGAGGGCCGTGGCAAATGCTTGTTCCGGAAGTTGTTGTATCCAGTATACAACTTCTTCCCGTCCAAGTGATTGTGCACGCGTTAAGGAATACCTCAGTACCGATTGCCGGGTGGCGGTACAAGTCCGCCAACGGGCCACTTTAGGTCTATTTAACATCACTAACACGTAAAAAGAAGGTGGTAGACAAGGACCAGTCGACCGAGGCAGTACCACCCGCTAGCTTTACCCAGGGTGTCTTATAAATGTCCGCATGTCTCCACACCTAAGCTATGCAGTCGGTTATCTACCAAAACAAAGAAACTAATGATGATGGATCCTCGAGCACTAAAAACTCCGGACGTAAACTCACTCCACTCTCGGAATGTCCGGGTGGAGGGTGGGCTCGAGTGAGCAACATCGAAGATAAAATTTGTTTTTCGAACATCTGCGGGATCAACAGCAACATTGATGCTGTTCATCACTACCTGCAATCCAATCGTCCCGCCGGCGCCATGCTTTTTTTGGCGGAGACAAAAATCTCAGAGACTGCACCGATTAACCATCTCAACTTCCCAAACTACGAGGTGCACTCCAATCTCAGAAAGAACGAGGGAGTTGTGGCTTTTGTCCGCAGCAGTCTTTCCTGCTCCAGGGATCTTTCTTTGGAATCAGACCGGAAGGACATTCTGTGGCTTCGCCTCAACTCCAAAACATCACCCAAATTTATTTGCTGCCTTTATCGCTCTCCCTCGAACCATAACTGGGATGACCTACTCGAATACCTCGCCGTCCAGATCGACTTCCTGAACATCAATCACCCCGCTTCAGAGGTAGTTCTTCTCGGTGATTTCAATGCCCATAATGAGCTTTGGTTGGGCTCAAATAAGACCGATGCAGCAGGTCGTGCAGTCGAAGCGTTCGCTCTTACTCAAGGGCTGACCCAGCTGGTGACGAGCCCTACTTTTTTCCCCCGCGTCTCGTCACATGCCAGTAGCCTGCTGGATCTCTTTCTGACCACTCATCCTGCCCCTTGCAGCACTGATGTCCTGTCCCCCCTGGGTAACTCAGATCACGGTGTTGTGGAGGTTAGGTTTCGGTCAGAAGCTGTGGCAGCAGAAACTCGCACAGGCCGCAAAACTTGGCATTACGGACATGCCGACTGGGAGGGGCTCAGAGACTTCTTCTCTAGCTTTCCTTGGAGAGATGTCTGTTTCACTGACGCGGATGCGTCTACTGTCTGTTCTTCAATAACCGAAATTATCCACGTCGGAATGGAGGAATACATCCCTCACACAGTGAAAGTTTCTAAACCAGGGTTCAACGGCTGGTTCAACAAATCGTGTGACACTGCTCGCCAGCAGAAGATCAAGGCCCACAGAACCTACTTACAAAACCCCACTGTAGAGAACAGACAAGCCGACGTCGAGTCCAGAAACAAATATAACGAAGCGGTTCGCAATGCCAAAACCCAGCATGATATAAAAGTTAGGCACAGGGTAATGTCGCAGAGCAATGGCAGTCGGTCTTTCTGGACGCTGGCCAAGCAGATTGAAAAGAACTTCTCACACAGTAGCCTTCCACCACTTACGTGTCAGGATGGAACTATTGTATTCGACTCAAAGGCCAAGGCGGAAGTGCTAGCCAAGATCTTTGCTGCCAATTCCACCATGGACGTCCCCACCAACGCCCAAGTGCCGTCAATTCAAAGGGTTCCCCACACTATGCGGGAGGTAACATTCAGGCATAAGACCGTAAGACGAGTGCTCTTGTCGCTCGACATCAACAAAGCTTCTGGTCCGGACTTGATTCCTGCCATTGTACTGAAGAGATGTGCAGCTGAGCTTGCTCCAGTTCTTTCGCGTCTCTTCCAGATATCTTATGAATCCGGCACCTTCCCAGAAAACTGGAAATTTGCTCGTGTACAACCCATCCCAAAAAAAGGATCTAAAACCGACCCTTACAACTACAGGCCTATAGCTCTGCCTTCTGTTATAAGTAAAGTGATGGAGAGGTGCATAAATCGCGAGCTTCTGGACTACCTCGAACGTCACAGCTTGATTAGCGACAGGCAGTATGGTTTCCGGCACCAACGATCCACAGGGGACCTCCTAGCTTACGTCACGCA